AATTCGTCACGCATGGAGACATGTGTTGCATGGAATACCAGGTGAGAGGAGGAGTCAATCTGTGACTGGTGAGGTTCAGAATGTTGCAGTAGCAGTGGACCTTGCCAGAGAAGCTGCGCAGACTGTTACAGTTCCAGGCTTCTCCGAGACCACCAACGACGACATCCTGGAGGTGATCAGAGATCCTGAAGTGACTGCCGACGAGATGTTGGAAGAAGATCACGTCAGTGAAGAGGAGGAAGAAGGTGCGTCATTCTCCGAAGAACACAGTTTAACTCATAGTGATATTAAGGGTGCCATGGAGTGTGCAGAGAAAATGAAGTCCTTCCTTTCCCGCGACAATGACGATGACCGCTATGAAGTCTTCCATACCCGGCTGGTGCAGGCTATGGAGCCGTACATCACGGTGTATCAAGACAACATAAACACCAGCCGTCAAAAAAGCATAACCGAGTTCTTCGCCCGCAACCCACCACAGCCAGCCCAAGCCAGTGATAGTGACAGTGAAGATGACTTTGAGGGATTTGTCAGGGAAGCCCTGACAACTGTAAGTGACAGTGATGGTGATTCACCTAGTAATGGTGATTCACCTGAGGGCCAGTAATCTGCCCTCTGCCTCGGAACCAGCCTCCATCCCCGTATGCCGACCCATCTCTTCTACTAACGTAAGTGTTCCACATAACTTTTAGTTTTCCTAACCTAACCTTTATTTTTCCTATGTTAACCTTTATTTTTCCTAACCTAACCTCTTCTATATTACTTGTTTTTTCATACCATCATAAAGTTAAGATAAAATTTTTACTATAACAAAGTTGTGTGTCGTCAAAAAGTGGAGTTTGGGGGTCGGCCCGGACTCTATTTCAATTAATCCCATATGTTATGTTATTCACTTTCCGCGGGACCCTGCGGGTTACATTAACCGCGTAAAGTGAGGGTTGACTGTACAGTATTTTGTAACAGCAAAACATTACAAATTACGAGTGATATCGAATTTGAGGGGGACGAACTACGTCTTTTTTTTTTTACTGTCACTTATTAACAGTAAATATGCTGAATATATACTGAATTAAAAATTTCTGTTTGTCACATATGCATAACTGATTTTGTTCCTACTGCTAAAACATAATGGAAATTACTGCAGTTCATTTATGGTAAAATCTGCCGTTTCATTTAAGATGTTATTTCCTGCCACTACATTACCAAACTCCCCGTGTATCTGATTCACGTTAACGGTAGGTTAAATTTTGTTTGGTTAGTAATAATGTTATTCATTTATAGTTTGTATTATTATTACATTACCTCCCAGATCATCCCTATATGCATCAAACTATAAGTATCCACCTTGTTACAGGAACATGTACGAGGTGTGATTCAAAAGTTCCCAGACTGGCTTCATAAAATCTTTATTTTTCAAGATATTACAGTGAAACTTTAGTCACCCTTAAAATATTCTTCAGAGGCCTCAATGCAGTGCTGAATCCCCTCCTCCTACTTCTGGAAGCAGATCTGGAAGTCCTTGTTGGTGAGGCTGGAGAACACCTTCTGCGATGTGTCCTGGATCTTCATTCTGTCCATGATCTTCTTCCCCTTGAGGTTCAACTTGAACTTCCTATACAGCATGGCATCCCAGTGGCCCCCTATTCTCCAGATCTAGTCCCCTGGTAGCAGAGACTGCCGCGCCAGTTCTCGCCTGTCAGTCATAGAGTACGGATCTTCATATTAAAGTTCCTGGCCACTACACAGTGTTTCTCCTTTCCTTCAAGAAAACACCTAACATGGCGCAGTGAGTTTAGCTGTGAACCGGAACCTCAAGATGCCAGGGTTCTCAACACCCTCCAGGACCCGCCGTGGCCACCTTCCTTCGGCGACACCGGTGATGATGGCCCAGGCCCTGTCAGTGCTGATGTCACTACAGCAAGCCATCGTCTCGCTGCAGGCAAGTTTGGCGTCGATGTCAGCCTCACGCCAGTCATCTCAGCCACAAGTCTCTACATCCGCTGCGCCTGAGAAATGTGACCTGGAGATGTCCTCAGCGGCCTCCCGGTCCTAGTGCTCAGCTGAGTGTTGGTTGCACCTCAACAAGTGGCCAGATGCTGACTCCATCCTGCATATCCGTCTCCTGTGTGTTCTTGCTCTCCAGTGTGCCTTGGATGCGAGGTTCACTACGACGCAGTGGAGGACTTGGACACCATCAGCAAGTTTGTGTTTCGTGTGTCAAATCAGGCAATACGTTGGTCTGATTTCTTCAGTGATGTTAAGGCTCCTAATGAGCCCATCAGTGAGTATTTCTTGCGATGCTCCCAGCAAGCCATGGACTGTGGATTTCAGTACCCCCAGTGTTACAAGTGATATTTTAGACTACGTGCTATTATGTAAGTTGATTGCTGGGCTATGTGACTCGGCATTAAGATGGGAAGTGTTTTAGAGCTGTAATACTTTCAGTGATGTTAACAACTCCGTGCCTACTGCAACACATTTGAGGCTGCACGTGATGCCGCTTTTGGCGGGAAGTTTGTGCGTGAACCGTCAGTGGCGGCGGTTGACGCCACTGAGGATGACGTCACACCCAAGGACACCATAGTGGCAGCAGCTTCCTGCTCAGCTGTTCTCCCGGCCAAACCTCCCCCCTGACCCTGTGGTAGCTGTGGGGGCCACCATGCCCCCGACAGGGCATCCTGCCCGGCCAAGGCAGCCATCTATCATGGCTGTGGGAAACTGGGCGACCTGAAAAAACTCTGCAGGAGTGCAAAGAAGTAATATGGGGGCCAGATAGCCACAGCCACAGTCACTAGTGCGATGGTGGCTGATGCCCACCTGTCTCAACAGTCGCTGCTACGTGACGATGTGGTCCGCCCTGCTGGTCGTACTCAACAGCCAATTATGGCCATAGCAGACACCGGCGCCCAGGTGTGTGTGGCCGGTCCTACCCTAATGTCATCACTGGGTCTCCGGCCTGCGCTGTTACAGCGTCGGGCAAGCTTATGTGACCTGCCCAACATCCTGCTGGCCACCCTGGGTTCCGCGCCATGCCGCATCGGCCTCCCCGACCGATTTACTCTCCAGGACGCGCACTTCTTCATGTCTGCCAAGCACCTGTACCTATCACTCACTGCCTGTAAGGACCTTGGCTTGGTGCATGTGGACTTCCCGCTCCAAGCCCCTCTGTTGCTGCTAAGGGTGGCAGATGGGGTTTGACACCAGCCTCCCGCCCAGGCCACCCGTCATGCCGCTCCACCCACTAGAAGAAAACGCCCCAAGGTTGGAGGAGTGGCTCCTCCGCCACTTTTCATCTACCACCTTCAACACAGATAGATATCCCCTCCCTGTGATGGCAGGTGCCCCTCATCACATCCACCTGATACCTGGTGCCAAGCCCCATACCTGCCACACCCCCACTTCGGTCCCCAAGCACTGGGAGACAGAGGTCAAACAACAGACCAATGACGATGTCAGGAGCGGGGTGAGCCGTCCGGTCCCTGCAGGGGAAACCACGAAATGGTGCGCTCGGATGGTGGTGGTTTCCAAAAAGTCAGGCAGACCTCGCAGAATTGTTGATTATAAGACTCAATGCATACTGCCTATGACAGACCCACCACACCCCGGCACCCTACAATATGGTATTCGATGTCCCTCTTCACTCGTACAAAACAGTGGCAGATGCCCACTGGGGTTTCCACCAGGTCGAGCTCGACGAGGATAGCAGGCACCTCACCACCTTCATAACACTCTGGGGCTGTTATCAGTACTGCAATACGCCCATGGGTCATTGCTCAGCATCTGATGCCTACACTAAGAGGTTCGACGATGCCATCCAGGACCTGCCATGCAAGTACAAGTGTGTCGACGACACACTCCTTTATGATGCCAGCGTGAAGGAGGCCTTTTAGCACACCTAAGACTTCTTGGAGTTATGTGCCAAAATGGGCACATAACCCTCAAGCCGGAGAAGTTCCAGTTCTGCCGGAAGGAGGTTGAGTTTGTGGGTTTCCACTTGGGATGGGACACCTACAAGACGTGAGGTCATGGCATTGATTTGTCAACTAGTTTGCACCATTCCTGGCCACGGTTCCCATCATGGGACCTTTCAGGACTTACTTAAGAAGCCCTCTGGGAAGAAGGTTTACTGAGATGACCAGTTGCAACAAAAGTTCCTCCAGGCCAAGGAGGTGATCTGCCAGCTTGCCAAGGATGGGCTAGCTTACTACGACAGGACCAGGCCCACCGCCGCCATCACGGACTGGAGCAGGGATGGCATTGGATTCGTCATTCTCCAGCAGTACTGCACGTGCTCCTCGGTGAATGCACCTTTCTGCTGCAAGGGTGAATGGCACCTCACGCTGTGTGGCAGCCCCCACCTGATGGCCGCTGAGACGGGATACGCGGCCGTGAAAGGGGAAGCCTTGGTGGTGGATTGGTGTCTCAGAAAAGCTTGGTTGTTCCTACTAGGGTGCCCTAACCTACTCCTTGTAACAGACCATCGTCCCCTGGTGAAACTCTTGGGTGACAGGGCCCTCGTGGACATTGTTAATCCACGTCTCTTCCATCTGAAAGAGAAAACACTGCAGTACAGGTTCACAGTTCGCTACTTACCTGGGAAGAAAAACTGTGGAGCTGATGTTTTGTCCCAGTATCCCGCCCTCAAGTCGACCCCTGACGACCAAGATGAGGACCTGTCAGTGGCCATGGTTGCAGCCACTGTGGCGGCCCTGGACTTCAGCGACTGTGCCACCCTAGACGAGGAGATGGTCTTCTGAGCGTCACTCGAGGATCCAGTCTACCAACTGTTAGTGGCCAAGGTGTTGGCTGATGGCTGGCACCCCTGCAGGTCACAGGAGGTTGCCTGCCTAAAGCCATTCTACAATGTCTGGGAAAAGCTGTCCACATCTCGTGACCTGGTGACCTACACCTTCAACCAGGGTTGTGTATGTCTGGTCATCCCTGAGGGCCTCCATCACCAGGTGGCTGCCAACCTACATGCAGGCCCCCAGGGCCTTGACTCTATGCTCAGGAGGGCCAAGCAAACTGTCTACTGGCCAGGACTGGAGGGCGATCTGCAATATCATCGGTCCTTCTGTGACACCTGCAACACCCACGCACCTTCCCAGCCACCTGAGCCCTTGCTCCTGATGCCACCCCCTGAATACCCCTTTCAGCAAATGGTGGTGGACATGTTCCAGGTGGAGGGACACATACACCTGGCCTACGCCGACAGGCTGACAGGGCGGCTTGGGATCGCTCACTTCCCCAGTGGCACCTCCTCCTACAAGATCATGGCTCAGCTTAGATGCTACTTCACCAGGTGGGGTACACCCGAGCAGATATTCATGAACGGTGGCACTAACCTGGTCAGCGAGATAATGATGGAATTCTTTCGGAAGTGGAGGGTCGCTGTCCGTCTGTCTTCCCCGCAATACCCCCAGTCCAATGGCAGGGCAGAAGTCGCGGTTAAGACTGCAAAAAGGGTGCTCCGTAACAACACAGAGGATAATGGGAGCCTCGATGACGACAAGGTATCTCTCGCCCTTCTCCAGTATCTCAACACTCCCCTGTGTGGTGTGGACAAGCCCCCGGAGCAGCTGGCAACAGGTCAACAGCTCCATGATGGTGTCCCCACGGCCAAACAGAATTTCAAAATCGACAGACATTGGAGACAGACACTCCGCAGACGAGAACTCCAGATGGTTCAAGACCACGAGGAGGTTCTTCGACAGCGTGGGGGTGTCATCCGCCATCGCTGCCCCTTGGTGCTTGGCAGCCGTGTCCAGGTCCAGAACCAGATCACTAAAGCCTGGGACAGGTTAGGCACTGTCATAGAGGCCCTCTAAAACTGCCAATACACCGTGCGGCTGGATGGTAGTGACCACGTTTCGCTCAGAACCCGTGGCCACCTGAGGGACATGGCCCGCCCTCGCCGGTCCAGCCACTCCCAACGCCCACCCCGTCAGATTCTGCGGGTTCAACACCGTCACCTGTACCACCACCTCCACAGCAGACAATAACTGACTAATGATGACACAGCAGACACTTCCACAGGCATTCCATTGAGCATAAATAACTAGATGGTTACTTTCAATAATATAATTGAACAGTTCACATTAAAAGTTATCAGAAATAATCAAAGAAAATGTGACAAATAAAATGAAAATATAAAAAATAAATGACAATTTTATTTATACTCCAAGAGATTGAATAAATGGGGCAGTTTGTGAAACATCATTCTGGCATTAGTTGATAGTGATGTTATAATGTGTTACTGCGCTTCAACGGCTAAGGTCTTTAAGCGTATAACATGGTTAGTAATTATGCTAGTCCATCAACAATTACATAAACTTCTGTAATATTAATTTTTCATATCCATAAATTTATCTTCTACTGTATTACAAAAATTAATTGATGCCATATTAACCTAAAATTGCCACAAGTATGAATGTACTTCATAATTCTATTTTACTTGGGTTAGATTAAACACCCCATTAACCCTCTGGTACTCTTGGCCAAGGCTAGAAATCTCACCTCCTTGCAGTCTTCCGATGCAGGTTGCATCGGTAACAGGAAGGTTTTTTCCATTTTAGTAAATACTGGGTCGAGCGATTCAGAACCAAATTGCACCCTTAAACACACATCTGCCAGCCCACAAGACTAGTGGGAGAACTTAGGTGGTTGATGGGACCGGACAACTGTTCCAGCATTTCTATTTACAGGAGGGGCGGTCTCAGTGTGAGATACGGCTGAGTGGGAGGGGTTTCGCCAACACGGGAGTGCTTAGCAACGCAATTTGTGTCGAAAGACCACAAGAAAGTTAATCTAATTCTTGTACCTGATTAAACTCTTTTGACTTATCTCAATATCTGCATTCTCTAAAAGTGGACGTGGATTTTATTTTTCAATTTTATGATAAAAAATTTACAGCACACGTGATACATATTTCCAATATGATAATTGAGCAGTTCCTATCAAGATGACCAAAGAGTTAAATGTCAACATATTCTTACACTTCATCAGTTCTTTGCTCATAAAAAAACATAAAGGAAGCTATGTACCGAGGAGACACTTCAAATCGCAAAAAGAAACAAAATTAAGTCCATTAGGATTGTACAACAAACATTTTCACACAACAAGCTCAAAGTGCATTCTGGTATGCACAATGTTTTTCCCTGATGATGTATGAGTGAGAAGGATGAAGAGAGTGATACACCTGCATACATAAATCCTTTAGATTAACCCTTAAAGCTCGGGTGACATTCCTCTATATCCACCATAGCGACCCCAGGTGATGTTCCTCTATGTCCTTAATTTTTGCGGCATATTTTCAATGTCCACCAGCTTTCATGATGGATGCACATCCTTCGATATTTCGTGATCCGCCTCGCTCCTCCACAGCAGTGCTATTCATCAAGAGTTGCTTGATTTGAGCGGCACTGATATAGTGTTGGGTAACGAAGACAGTGATGGGGGAAGAAACAGACCCGGATCATGTCAACTTTGTTGAGGTGGCCAGCGGTGAGGACAGTGATATAGACAAAGTCGCTCACTCCCCCACCCCACCCCACCCCACCCCACCACCCACTCAGCAAAGTTGTGGGCACCGAGGACAAAGGGGAGAACGTGCACGCCAGCCACAACAGTACACTTGGAGAGACTGCACTAATTTTACCCCTGAAATACCAGTTTTTGACAATGGATTAAAAAAAATAAATAAAAAATTAATAGATAGATAGATATATATATATATATATATATATATATATATATATATATATATATATATATATATATATATATATATATATATATATATATATATATATATATATATATATATATATATATATATATATATATATATATGCCCGTGTGGGGGGATTGGCAGGTCTTACGTCGTCCAAGTCATAAGGGTTTAAGAAGGGATGTGTTTAAGAAAGTTATCCACAATGTGAAATTCCAAAAACACAAATCAATTGTTTCCAGTGATTTCCATTACATACACATATTTGCATGTGCATTTCTACGAAAAAACAAAAACAAAACCTCTCAAATAAAAATAATCTTTTCCAAAACATATTTATTGGAAAATTTCTTAAGGATAATATTTCATTAGTGATATGTAAAAATTATGAATTTAACTTACCATGAACAATGTTGATTTTAGTGTGATGTGATGTAGTTAAGAGTTACTGGGAAGGTAATGAAGCAGCAGTAGGCGTCTGCCTCTCTTGGAATCATCGCCATCTGCTTCAGACTCTGCTCTGGAGGCAAATGTTTGCTTCTCCAGTACCCCCCAATTGTTTGTCTCTCCTTTATTGTCATTTCACATATTCGCTGCTCATCAATTGGGGGGAACACTCATCATTACTTATAGTTTGGATTACTTACCATGGTGTAGTCATAAGTCGGCATGAGCATTACTTGTACTACTTTGTTATCTTACGGTATATCTTGTTTATTCTGGACCAAACTTTGCTGTTAAGAATGTATTCAATGTACAGTAACTAGTCGTAAAACAGTGAACCAACACACCATCTTCTGTTTACAGTTCCGCATTTTTTTTTTTTTTTACTTTGACGATGTAAACATTGGATTCGAGATTTCTGTGCGATTCTTTGCTGCTAGGGGCTGAAATGGCCTTAAACCCCTTATATTAGACCCTGTGATGTATTAGCTCGTCTTACAAGCAGAAGTATTTAAATAAATGTGGGTTAATTACACCTTTAGCAGAGATTACATATTTTACCTACACTTGGCTTACAATGTTTAATTTCTAGTTATATTACCTTATTAAGCTTACTGTTGTATTTTCCCTCTTTTATATCTTATTTATTAGTGATTAATGACAATAAATACATTGCCTTATTGGCAACACTTATGACTATAATGGGATAAAATGTTAATATTAGAGCATTTTTCTGTGAATTGCTTTTTGGTTCCTTTTCCAAAATGATTGTTTGTGGAATGAAATTTGAGAAAGCATACTGTGAGCCACCCCATGTTTTCCATGTCCATGAAATGATTTTTCTTCAATTCTTGCCATGTGAATGTTCTGTCACTTACAAACACATTACTTACTGTATTATCATTATATTACAATAGTCATTCCCACACCCCCATATCACCTCAATACTCACCACAAAAATAATCCAGCACACCAAAGTTACCCCCACACGACATCAATATTCACCCCAACACGCACGCAAGTACAAACGCGCGCACACACACAAAAAAGTGGTACAGTAATACACCCTGTGGGATATCAAATTGTCATGGTAGTATGACTAGTTAGATGTCAGGATGTCCCACAAATGAAATACTGTATAGCAATATTTTACAAAGACATACCAGCCGCACTGCTTGTTGTTCTAGGATGCACAAAGTATAGTTGCCTCTGCCTGAACGCACCACAGCCTGGGAGTGTGTGAAGGTTCGGGTGCAAGATGTGACAAAGCAGCACCATAGTCAGGGCTAAATTTATGGGTGTGAAACAGTGAAATTACTCTTTCTGTGTTAAGATACAAACAATAAAGGAGTTAACAGATGAACGAACCCTGTAATACGAGTTATGCAGCATTGTTGCGTAGCCATGACCGAGTGACTAGGCCTAAACTACGGGAAACCGGCAAACAATAATTTACGGTTTTACGCCCATGACTATGATGCGGCATTGCCACATCACGCAAATGTGCCCCCACACACACTTAGGCCATGGTACATTCATATGGAGGCAACTGTCCATCCTTTGATTGTAAAGGTTAGGTAAAAAGAATGAGCATATGAGGAACAGAAAAAGTAAAATATTAAAGTTAGAAGATTTAAAGAGACGAGAGTGGTGAGAATGTAGCTATCATCACCTGCATGTTGGGTCTGCCTACTACCACTGTCTGTTCCATGATGAAGGTTTGGGGTAAAACAGAGGACTAAGATGGCTACTAAACTTTGGGTGACTAAAATAGAAAGGCAGAGCATTAGGTAATGTTTAGTGTACATTAAACTATCCACTGTAAAGGAATTTACTTGTTTATCCTTTGTTTGGATGTCAAACAGTGGCAATGAATTAGGACATAACCCAACCTTATTACTTTACTTCTTATGACAAAATTCCACTTTTTTATTGCATGAATGATGTTAGCAATGAATGGAAATGAAAAGCCCTTATTCCATTAATTCTTATGGAGAAAAATTCCCCGCTATTAGTGATTTCAATATTTGTCCCTATTTTTTTATAGTCATGAATGGGAACATTATCAACAAAAATTCTACTATGAATGAAAATCTCTTAACTTTTACTTTACAGTCAACCACAGAGGGGTGGTTGGAGTTCCTACAATCTGCTCACGCTTTTCTGCAGCTCCCATGTTCCAACATCAGGTCCTCTTTAACAGATTTTATCTACAGAGCTGTAGTACCCTAACCATATCTTCTACAATTTTCAAAACCTATAAAAATTGTCACAAAATATCTTGCTTAACATTCGATAAGCTTTCTGCTTTGAGAAAACCTTCAAAGTTGCCAATAGACTGTGGCCATGTTTCTCCATACATCATTTACAGTTGATGGTTTCACTACATCCCACAACTCTGTGATGTTGTCCACTGTCCATGATGCTGAACTTTCTCCAGAAGTCCTAACATGAGATTTATCCTCCTCATTAATTCCTTTTATGAATTGATGATAAGCTGTTAGGTAATAAGACTTAAAGTTGGTGATCATGACTTGAGCCATTGGCATGAGTAAGGTAGCTGATATTTTGGAGAAGTAATTCACTTTTATCTTCCAGAAAGATCATTCAAGGTCACTGGGCAGATTTTTGCATTGTCTAAGAAAATCACAATAC